AACCCGCGACACGGTTATATTCTTTTGACGAACTTTCTGGCCGGTTTTCAGTTCGACTCGATTAACGTTTTGTACCGTTCTTACCGCGGTATTCAGAGGGAAAGACAATTTGTTGTTTCTAAATACTGAACAATTCAACTTGAGAACGTCTGCTTCAGTCGTATTTGTGTATCGTTCGTTCGATTATTATGTTATTCGTATTATTCTCGTTCGATTATAATATTATTCGTTCGATTATAATATTATTCGTTCGGTTATAATATTATTCGTTACAATATTATTATACGGTTATAATATTATTTGTATAATATTATTTGTTCGGTTATAATATTATTCGTTCAATTATAATATTATTCTTTCGATTATAATATTATTCGTTCGATTATAATATTATTCGTTACAATATTATTATACGGTTATAATATTATTTGTATAATATTATTTGTTCGGTTATAATATTATTCGTTCAATTATAATATTATTCTTTCGATTATAATATTATTCGTTCGATTATAATATTATTCGTTACAATATTATTATACGGTTATAATATTATTTGTATAATATTATTTGTTCGGTTATAATATTATTCGTTCAATTATAATATTATTCTTTCGATTATAATATTATTCGTTCGATTATAATATTATTCGTTACAATATTATTATACGGTTATAATATTATTTGTATAATATTATTTGTTCGGTTATAATATTATTCGTTCAATTATAATATTATTCTTTCGATTATAATATTATTCGTTCGATTATAATATTATTCGTTACAATATTATTATACGGTTATAATATTATTTGTATAATATTATTTGTTCGGTTATAATATTATTCGTTCAATTATAATATTATTCTTTCGATTATAATATTATTCGTTCGATTATAATATTATTCGTTACAATATTATTATACGGTTATAATATTATTTGTATAATATTATTTGTTCGGTTATAATATTATTCGTTCAATTATAATATTATTCTTTCGATTATAATATTATTCGTTCGATTATAATATTATTCGTTACAATATTATTATACGGTTATAATATTATTTGTATAATATTATTTGTTCGGTTATAATATTATTCGTTCAATTATAATATTATTCTTTCGATTATAATATTATTCGTTACAATATTATTATACGGTTATAATATTATTTGTATAATATTATTTGTTCGGTTATAATATTATTCGTTCAATTATAATATTATTCTTTCGATTATAATATTATTCGTTCGATTATAATATTATTCGTTACAATATTATTATACGGTTATAATATTATTTGTATAATATTATTTGTTCGGTTATAATATTATTCGTTCAATTATAATATTATTCTTTCGATTATAATATTATTCGTTCGATTATAATATTATTCGTTACAATATTATTATACGGTTATAATATTATTTGTATAATATTATTTGTTCGGTTATAATATTATTCGTTCAATTATAATATTATTCTTTCGATTATAATATTATTCGTTCGATTATAATATTATTCGTTACAATATTATTATACGGTTATAATATTATTTGTATAATATTATTTGTTCGGTTATAATATTATTCGTTCAATTATAATATTATTCTTTCGATTATAATATTATTCGTTCGATTATAATATTATTCGTTACAATATTATTATACGGTTATAATATTATTTGTATAATATTATTTGTTCGGTTATAATATTATTCGTTCAATTATAATATTATTCTTTCGATTATAATATNTTTGTTCAATTAAAGTATTATTCGTTCAATTAAAGTATTATTCGTTCGATTAAAGTATTATTCGTTCGATTATAATATTATTTGTTCAATTAAAGTATTATTTGTTCGATTGAAGTATTATTCGTTCAATTATAATATTATTCGTTCCATTATAATATTATTTGTTCAATTAAAGTATTATTTGTTCGATTGAAGTATTATTCTTTTAATTATAATATTATTCGTTCAATTAAAGTATTATTTGTTCGATTAAAGTATTATTCGTNTTTGTTCGATTACAGCATTATTCGTTCGATTAAAGTATTATTCGTTTAATTATACTCGCACTGAAGTTTTAACGGGTTTTTTCGGTGAACGAATGGATCGTGCTACGCCTTAACCCCTTGCATCACGATTTATTTCACAGTTACGTTGATTAGCACTTCTTCGTTCTTAATCGTATTCCTAATAAAACGAGACAATTTTTGTTTCTTGCGCGTCGTCCAACTTTTCATTCGAAATTTTGCTAATAAAACAATGTTTTACCGATACAGTGTGAAATGGCTAACATTCATATTTAGCGAACTGTTATAGTGCAAGGGGTTGATAATAAGCAGATTCTCTTCCATCGATCTGGCAATAATTATTGAACATTTTTGTTTTGTAACGTGTACTAGACCGTTGTTCCAGAAATGAAAAGAACGTAATAATTGATATCTTTCCTCCATTTGTAATGCGAAATCGATACCGCTGTCTCTCCAAACACACGTCACGAATGTTATTTACCTCGCATTACTTGTTTCTTTATGAAACTCGTACATCCAAATCGCACGCAAATAGCACTGGTCGATGCTCATGCTCAGTTTTCTTTTAATAGCAAAGTTATTCACTAGCCTTTGTTATGCGTGCACAATACTCGAGCGATATTTACAGAGAATTTAATCAAACCTTTTGCACTTACGTAATAACACACGGCAGAACCTGTCATCTGCGAACGAATAAAGGGACACGTGTGTTCGGATAAAGAAAAAAAATGTTTACGCGATACGTGTCACTTTTTAAAAGCTGTCAAAATATATTATTGACATGTCACATGTTTAATACATCACGTATTAACGTTTAAATACATATTGATCCCTTGTCGACTTGGCTATGAAATCACAGAAATTTTTCAACGAACACAGAATTTTGCACTGAGTCGACGTAATCGGACCTTTTTTGGTCGAAACGAATTAGTGAACTGTGCGGATCTCTATGCTTTCTGCTCACGTGGTTCGACATTTAGAATAAAGAATACGGTAATGTCTCCCTAACTGACGCTCAGATTCTGCACAAAAATGGACAATTTGGGAAGAGGAGAAGACGATTGTTCGAGCCTCGCGGCTCGTTTTCATAGTTGTTGACAATCGGAGACGTGCCGCGAGACTCGAATAATCGTATCGCCTCTTCCTAAATTGTCCATATTTATGGGCAATCTGAGCGTCAATTAGAGAGACATTACTGTAAAGAGAAAACTTCTTTCACGCTGACTGAAAATATGTTTTCAGTGAAAATGAAATAAAAGTATAATTAGAATTGATCAATGTCGGTATTTCTTTGTATTTTGCATAAACATCTTCAGTCGAATTGTTACTGTAATATCTCCCTAATTAACGTTCAGATGATAGACAATTTGGGAAGAGGAGATACGATTACTCGAGCCTTGCGACCCGTTTTTATAGTTGTTGACAATCGGCGACTATAAAAACGAGCCGCAAGGCTCGAATAATCCTATCTTCTTTCCCCAAATTGTCCATTTCTGCGTACAATCTTAGCGTCAATTAGGGAGAATTTACTGTACTTTGTTCGAACTGTATTTATGATAGCATACAGTGGCCCGCAAAAGTGTTCCCATGCATTCCAAGACGCGATAATCTTTTTGAAACTGCCCTAAATCGCTTGAATTTCTTTTAGACGATGGAAAAATAAAAAATCTCACGCGTTTCGTAACTTTCTTTTCATCCGAGCCTGTGATGAAAATTTAATAAATGCGCTTTGTATGCGTGCTGAAAATTTCATCCAAAACGTTGTTGCGACTCGCGAACAATTAAAGATCGCGAAAATCGCACTTTTGTCACGATTTTTTAACACTTTTGACCAAGAATTGTAAGAAATCTGCAGCTTTTGAAATCATTCAACGTCTGCAGCTTAATTCTCTGTTAATTGATTTCCATAGAATTCTCAGTGCGCGTGTAAGTTATCGAGATCTATTAAACTCACTTTTTAAGTGTTCGTTTTAGACTTAGAATCAAATAAAAATGTTGAAAAACGTGTTTTTTGTTTCCTTTTGATGTCACAAATAAGAGCAAAATTTAAAAAAAATAGTATTTCAGTTATTTTCTAGTAGACTAGAAAATATAATTATATATATAACTATAATATATATATAATAATATATATTATATTATATAATATGATGTAATATAATAATAAATAATATATAATATTATAATATATAATATAATAATAAATAATATATAATATATATCATGTAAGAAAAAAAGAAAATCAAGCAATTCAGTCCAGTTAAAAAGAAATTGTTGCGTTTTGAAAGACACACATAAACACGTTTATGGGCCATTGTTGTTATCGTTCTCGCTTTTAACGAGCGAGACTAGAGCCTTTTGTTTAATTGACTCGAATCGCGTTTGTACGAGCACTTCGAAGTGTCGACGAGCCGAACGACATTTTCCGTTTAATTACCGATGTTATTATCGTCTGTGATGCTCCTCCCAGGCCGCACTCGACATTCAAGAGAACTCAAAATCGACCGAATTCCAAGGCGTGTGAGCTTGGACAGAATCGATATCCCACCCTTCCGCTTCATCTTCTTCTTCTTCTTTTTCTATTCTGCTGCTATGCCGATTTGCACTTGTTGCGTCGCAACTGCATGACACACTGCCTCTCTCTCTCTCTCTCTCTCTCTCTCTCTCTCTCTCTCTCTGTCTCTCTGTACGCTTCCGAATCTATCTTCAGCGATCTTAGACATCCGCGCGAACGCTTTTTCCTTCTCGGCTGTTCTCTGTAATCTGTGGAAGCTCTGGCTCTTAAGTAATCGTACACATCCAGCTCACGTTTCTCTCTCCCTTTGATGTCTCTGTGCTGTACACATTTTACTTGGCGCAATTAATGGCTAATGCTAACACCGGTGCATGCACGGCTTGGTGAATTAGTTGTCGGAGAGGAAGTCAGGCGAGGATGGTTAATCGTGTTGTTTCGCAGTGTGGTGGATCCCTCGCAGCGCGAGAACCTTGGGATTATCGTCCAGTACAAGGTGAAAGTGAAGCTCTGCCTTGGGGCGCTCGCGGGGTAAGTCGGATTATTAAACTGAGTGTTCAAAGTCGGTGGACAAGAGGCGCGGCGCGAACTCGTAACGCCTGGCTGTGTTACGCGACGCTAATAAACCAAAACATGACCTTAGACTTCGTAAGCCTCGTGCTAGACTTGCCGTTCCGCAATCTCATTTCCAGGTCATCGACCCCGTGTCGTCATCGTTCGGGCGCATATGCTCGCTACCGGTTCGACGCGTTGCGTCCGGCGAACAAGATTTCCTTTGTTATTATCGAGAAGCAAACAACGTGATATAATATTTTAGAGAATTCGGTCAATTCTTCCCTGTGTTGTTCTTCGGCTTGTGAACGGAAATCGATGATTTGGGGAGAGAAGATACGATTATTCGAATAGAACGATGTCGCAGAAATGTTTGTTCACGTGGGGTATTCCATTCGATTGAATTTTACTATTTTTTTAATGATATTTTTACGCGATCATAGCACACTTCATTGACTCTCTCACGTTCCAAAAATAGTCACGTGCAAAAATAGTTGCACGAAATATCCTCTGGTTATACATATTTCAATTATTATTGTTGTAAAAAAGTGATAGCTTATTAAATGATATCTTTGTTCAGTTAAATAAATCGTATAATAATAAGAATGATTATTATTATTTCTGTAAATGTTAAATTATTATTATTTCCGTAAACTTTAATACGATCAACTATATAAGATTAAAACAAATTTTTTTAAAGAAGGAGTAATTATAATTCTTGTTATTATACGATTTATTTAATTGGATAAAAAAATATTATTTACTTTT